AAAACCTTTACTATTGGGCCAATAAGCAACATCATAATAGATGGAGGAAATATTGAAATTGCAAAAATTTCATGTTGCATGGATCCAGTCAGCACGCTTGGTACCAGCAATCAGAAGATCAGAAAATGTATAGCATTGAGAAAGTCTGCTGTCACAATCTCTAAAGTCCTAAAGAGCAATGATGTCAGTTTACTGACCAATGTGCACCTGAATCAAATTACAGTCTTCACAATAACCTGCTGTGCATCTGAGAGTTAGACTATGAATCAGGATGTCAGGAGGAGAACCGATGAATTTGAGTTGTGGTCTTGGAGAAGAGTGCTGAATATCGTGTGGGCTACCAAAAGAACAAACAAATATTGTTTTGGAGAATGTGCAGCCAGAATGTTCCTTGGAGGCAAAGATGGTGAATCTTCATCTTACATATTTTGGACTTGTTGTTAGGAAAGGCTGTCTCTTAGAAAGGGACATCATGCTTAGAAAGGTGGGTGACTCAACAAAAGACGAGGAAGATTGTGCTCTGTGAGGTGATCTGTGGCAATGGACTCAAATATCAAGGATGATTGGGAAGGCACTGGATAGGACAAGAGTTCAGATCTATTTATTGTTCATAGAGTATGACTATATTTGTCAGCACTTAACTGTGCACAGGGTTTGTTTTAAGGGAGTAATAAAAATGTTCTGAGATTATGTTTTTAAAAAATGGAAAAAATCCTATTTGAGATGAGTAAGAATTTCACTACTAGGGATATATCCTAAAGAAATGAGAGACACAAAATAGATATGTGCACATTGATGTTTTTGCAACATTGTTCACAACAGTAAGAAGATGGTAAGGATCTAAGTGCCCATCCATGGATGAACAGATAAACTATGGTAAGTGCAATAAAGATTGCAATAATAAATTGCAATGGGTTATAAAAATGCAACAATAAATGACAATGAATCTATAAAAGACCTCATTAACTTGGTTAAACCTAGAGGAGTTGGATAAATTATGAGTAAAATGAGTCAAACAGAGGGGAAAAGGTTACATTAGTCCACTACTATAAGAAATAACAATTTCCACACAGAAACATTCTTTGACTGTTACCAAGAATGAGAAGATTGGGAAAGAGGGAGGAACACATTAAATTAGGAGAAGAGAAAAACAATATGCCCAGAGGTAATGATCACCACTATTACAAAACAAACAAAACCAACCAAACAAACCACACAACCAAGAAAGGTAAATACATAAATGGGTATTAGTAGTAATAAATAGACATTGATTTACAACGGGATATATGGGCAGAGAGGTGTGTGAGTAAGATTATGGTCATGACTACATAGGTTTGATAAATTTCTAAACATGTATCAGTGTGTTCTATAAATAGATCCAGTGTATAGGAGAGAAAATAGGCAGAATTGTGAAAATTTAGTCAAAACCAAAGTTTGAAGGAATGAGTTGCTGGTCCTGGAAACTTAGCAACGAATCCTGTGCACAGTTGTTAAGTGCCATCGAGAACAGCTCAGGAAGCTCTGGTGGCCCAGCGACAAGAAGCTGCACTACAATCCCTAAGGTGCATGATTTGAATCCAACAGATGCTGTGCTGGAGAAGGAGGGACAATATTCTCCTGTGCCAGTTGGATCCGACTCAATGATACACAACAAGGCAGGGGGGAGGTGAAGAACTACTCATAGCTACTCATAGCCACTCTGTGAATGATAAGTAGATCTGAACTCTTGTCCTATCATGTGCCATCCTTACCATCCTCAACACTTTTGACAATATATCATTCTATCTCACTGAGTCTTCCTCTCCTTTGATGAATCCTCCACATTTCCAAACATGATGTCCCTTTCCAAGGAATAAATAGCGTTGGGAGCTTAGGGACATAGGCATATAAGAGTCCACAATATTCTATGTTCAACTTTGGTGAGTTTCAACTGAGGGCTTTTAAGCAGCCATCTAAGGTGATTAGTCTCCCCTTGTCTGGAGGAAAGGGAGCGGTGATAATGCAGAAAAGCAAAGATTAGCCCAAATGACTAATGCACAATTGGAGCTTTCATCTCCATGGCTTTGAGACCAGAAGTACTAGATGGTATAGTGATAGAATATGTAGAATGAAAGACAAAACCAGTTAAAAAAAAAAAAAAAGACCAGGCTTACTGATTGATGGAGACAGGTGGGGCCCCTGAGACTATAATCTTCAAGCCTGAAACTAAAATCACTGTGAACGACTATTCAGCCAAACAATTCCACTAAAATTTGTGTGATAGCCTACCTTTGAGTGAAACCTCCCCTTTGGGGAGTTCTCCTTTACAGAAGACTTACTCATCTTTTTACTTCAGTGCAGCTGGTGGATTTGAACTGTTGGCCTTTCAGGTAGTGGAGAAACAACATATTGTTGACCAAAAATTAAGCAGGACTGTAAGGTGATTTCACATCACAAATCACCTTATGTTGTTGATAGGACCCTTCGAGTCTACTTCCAGTCATAGCCACCCTGTGAGCAACAGATCTTACTTGGTCTTATCCAGTGACATCCTCACAATCTCTGATAAGCTTGAGTCCATTGTTATAGTCTCTGTGTGAATCCATTTTGTTAATCGTCTTCCTCTCTTTTTCTGACCCTCCACTGTTCCCAGCATGATATCTTTTTCCAAGGACCGGCCGGCCTCTCCTGACAGCATGCCCAGAGTATGTGAGACAGCGTTTCATCATCCTTGCCTCCAAGGAGCACCCAAGTTACATTTCCTTTAAGACATCCTTTTTACTGTTTTGGCAATCATGAATATTCACCATCATTCACAGGCAGACATCAATTCTGCCATCCACTATTCAACTTTCAAATGCATAGGAAGCAACTGGAAAAACCATGGATGGGATCAGGCACACCAAGTCTTAAATTGACATCATTACTCTTTAGCACTTTGGGGAGGTCCTTGACAGCACATTTTTTCAAGTGCACACCTTTTTTTCATTGTGGTAAACATAAGGAGCCCTGGTCACTTACAATACTGCTAATCTAGTTGGCTGCCCTGCAAACCTAAGAAAGCATGCTGCTTGAATCCATTAGCTGCTCTGCAGGAGAAAGAATGGTAGTCTCCTCCTCTGCCATATACACTGCCTCTGAAACAGGGTCAGCTATGGGTTGGTTTGAACTTGACTGTACATAACAAACATAAAGTCCACCAAGCACGAGGGTGGGGAAAGATGGACAGTCTCCTCCTTGTAGGATTTACAGCCTCTGAAACCCGATGGACATTCTCTGTGAGTCCCAATCGATAGTGGGGATGGTGGTAAATATATGCAGGTTGGGTTTAGAAGAAGTCGTGCTACTAGGGATATTACAGCTAATGTTAGATGAATCGTTGCTGAAAGCAGGAATGTCTGTTTCATTGGCTATGCAAAGGCTTTTGACTGTATGACTCACAAACTCTGGCTGACACTGAGAAGAATGGGAATCCCAGAACACTTGATTGTGCTAATGCAAAACCTATACTTGGACCAGAATGCAGCTGTCAGAACAGAGCAAGAGAACACTGCATGGTTCAAAATTGGGAAGGGTGTGCACCAGGGATGTGTCCTATCTCCATACCTTTTCAATCTATATGCAGATCAGATCATGCAGGAGGCTGGGCTCTATGAGGAGAAATGAGGCATCAGGATTGAAAGAAGAATCATCATCATTCTGAGTTATGCAGATGAAATAACCCTGCTTGCTGAAACTGAGGAGGACCTGAAGTGCTTGCTGCAGAGGGTCAAGGATTACAGCCTTCAATATGGATTGAAGCTCAACATCAGGAAAACAAAGATTCTCACTGCTAGGCCTACTGGCATGATCACGTTAAATGGTGAAGAGATTGAGATTGTTAACGGCTTTTGTTTGCCTGGCTCCAGAATGAACACTCTTGGTACCAGCAGCCAGGAAATTAAAAGACGAATTGCATTGGAAAGTCTGCTGTCAGAGACCTCTCCAAAGTACTGACGAACAACGATTTCAGTCTGGGGACTAAGGTGGGCCTGATCCAGGCCATATTGTTGTTGTTGATTGCCTTCTAGTAGAACAGGACTCACAGTGACCCTATGAATAAAAGGCCTGAAACCTTTCTATATCGACATTTATCCAAGATCATGGAGGTTCCGGAGATATGTTTAGGAAGTGGATGCCACTCCTGCTTTTAAGGTCCAGGCCATAGTCTTTGCAATTATTTGCTATGCATCAGAAAGGTGGACAGTGACTAGGGATGATAGAAAGTGAAGCCTTTGAGCTGTGGTGCTGGAGAAGCGTATTGAATATACCATCAACTGCCAGGAGAACAAGCAAGTTTTTCCTAGAGAGGGTGAAGCCAGGCTGGTCCTTAGAGGAAAGAATTCTGAAGGTCTGCCTTACATACTTTGGAAGTCATGCTTGGGAGGGTGGAGGGACAGCGCAGGAGAGGAAGATCCTCGATGAGATGGATTGATTCAGTGACTGGGGTAATGGGAGTAGGTGTGTCAAAGACAGTAAGATTTGGCACAGGATAGAGCAGGGTTTAGGGCTGTTGAACATCGGGTCATTTTGATTCTTAAGGCACTCGAGGGCACATAACAACAACAACAACAAACATTTGCTAAATCAGTAATATTTACATGTACAGTTAAGTGATTTTACATTCCTATCTTCAGTGACGACTAGTGAGGCGACCCTGGGAGATTCTATGAAGAACATCTAGTTCCCAAGTTTCTAACTTTGAACATACAAGCAGTGAGAGGTAATGTTACTTAAATAGTTTACTTCGCATCCGAACTAAAACAAAACAAAACAAACAAAAGCTGTCCGTAAACCCTCGCATGAATCTAATCCCCCAAAGCCCGGTCCAAAATGCACGCCCACACTCGCAGGGACCAATTACTTCGCGGCCCCAGGAAGTGGCATCTTACGCATTTCCGGTTCCTTGTGTTCCTGGAGTTCCACCCGGACGCGTTCTCTCGTGGTGCACGTGTGTCTGCCAAGCTCTGGTCGCCGGGGACATGGACGCTTTGGACCGGGTGATGTAAGTGTGCGGGCCCCGGGCTCTGAAAAATACTGGAGATTGGGACTCCTGCGGCTACATGCTCCCTTTCCTTTTTTTTTTTTCTTCCGCCCATTGCCAGTCCTGCCCGGGCCGGTACTGATGATTTTTACCAGCTCAGGTTGGCGGCGAGAAAACAGCAATGATGGACTTAATAAGTAGGATCCGCGGGATTCAGATGAAACAAAGGCATTGGCCACTTTCTTCCTCAGAAATGAAAAAGTTTGGCTTCGACGGAGTGAGAATAATTGCAGGAGAGGTTAAGAGTGTAGGCTTCAGACTTTGACAGATCTAGGTGACACGTCCCGATACGTCCATTAAAGCCTTGTAACTTTAGGCCACTTAATCGCCCAGCATCCCAGTTTACTGGCTAAATAGCGATTATAATATTCATACTTAGAACTTTGAAGATTAACTGCGAGAATGTATGTAGTCTTTGCTTCAGCATCTAGAACATACACATGAACTTTTTATTTTCTGTGTATTTTTCTGTGTTAGGTTCGAGTGTTAATGTTTAAAAGATATGTGCTGTCAAGTCACCTGTGACTCAGATCGACCCTACCTATGTACAGCAGCTCTGAATCCTGCTCTATCCCGAGCCAACCTTATTGTCTCTGACACTCCTACCTCCATTTGCCCAGTCACAGAGTTGATCCATCTCTCTCATAGAGGGTCTTCCTCTCTTGATCTGTCTCTACACCTTCCCAAGCCAGACGTCCCTTTCCAAAGACTGGTCCCTCCTTGCAGCATGTCCATAGTATGTCAGAAGGAGTTTCAGAATCCTTGTCTCCTGGGAGCAGCTGGTTTCACCCTCTCCAGGATGAACCTGTTTGTTCTCCTAGTAGTCCACGGTATATTCAATACTCTTCTCCTGCACCACAGCTCAAAGGCATCAGTTCTCCTTCGACATTGTCCAACCTTCTGATGCATAGCATGTAATTGCGCACCTTAGACTCCAGACTGGCATCATTGCTCTTCAGTATTCTGGAGAGGTCCCTGACAGCAGACTTTCCCAATACAATTCGTCTTTTGATTTTCTGCCTGCTAATCTCTAAAATATTCTTGCTATTTGCTAGCATTTCTTCTTGAAATTTACTGGAGTTAACATGTAATGGTTCTTTTAAATCAGTTTTTTAAAAAATACTTGCTGTATATTAGATTGTGGGGTTACGGAGATAAGTAAGACTAGTTTACCATCTAATTGGTACCTGGCTATCATTATTGAACATTTTTTTTTCAAGACCTATAGAACAATCCTGATCAAAAAGAGGGAGGAAATATAGAACAGAATTAAAAATTTTTAATGGACATTGAGCTTTCTGGAGCCATGAAAGGTGAACGAACCACTGAAACTTGCACTAATGTAATCTTCGAACTGTAACAAAAAAATGGTCTCTAAAATATTATTAAAACAATTAATAATTTAGCTTAATTAATTAATAATGTCTACATTGAATAGTGTTGTATACCACTGAGTCAGAACCAAGAGCTGGTTAATTCCAATGTGTTTTCAGAGGCAGTAATCACATGAGAGGAAAGAGATTGCCCATGTTTCTCCCATGGAACCTACTTGCTGGTAGATTTGAACCATGTTGTGTTGACAACACAGTTCCTTACCACTGAGCCACCAGAGTGCCCTTAATATTGAGCATTATGCTTTTTGAAAGATCTGAATCAATAGACCACATCAAGATAGATACAGAAAGGATTGAAATTGTCAAGTATTTGATTTTACTTGGATCCACAATCAGTACCCATGAGAGCAGCAGTAAAGAAAGACTTGGGGAAAATCTTTCATAAAAGACTTCTCCAAAGCACTAAAGAGCAGAGCTACCAAACGTAAAGGTGGATCTGATCTAAGCCATAGCCTTTTTATTTGCTTCCTGTGCGTTTGGACGTTGGACAAGGAATATGGAAGACTGAAGGTGATGCCATGCCTTTGAATTGTGGCTTTAGTGAAGACTACTAAGTAACCCAAGGACTGCCAAAAGAACCCAGGGTTCTCCTTAGAGTCAAGGATTATGAAGTGTTGTCTTACATACTTTGGGCATGTTGTCAGGAGAGGAGGCCAGACCTTGGAAAAAGACGAGGACTTTTGTTGGAAACAGTATAGGGTCAGTGAAAGCGAGGAGACCCTAAAGGAGATGGATTGATAACAGTAACAATGAATTATAGCATGATGGAGATTGTAAGAATGGTGCAGGATAGGGCAAAATTCAGATGTGTGGTTCATGAGATCTCTGTGAGTTGTAGTCTGTTTAGTGGTTTCTAACAACAGCATAAAGGATGAAATTGGAAATGGCAGCCCTAATGATTAAATAGGAACCTTGTTGTTAGGTGCTGTTGAGTCAAATATGACTCATAGCCACCTTGTGAGCAATAGACCTGAACCCTGTCCTATCCTGTGCCATCCTTATCATCTCTGACACATTTAAGCCTGTTGCTGCAGTCACTGTGTTTATCCATCTTGTTGAAGGTCTTCCTCTCTTGCACCGACTATCCATCTTTCCATGTATGATATAAGAAATAGTTACTGCTAGCAACCTGTCAAAAGTATGAAAGATGGAGCTTTATTATCATCTCTGCCTCCTAGGGGCACTTAGACTGCACTTTGTCCGAGACATACCTATTTTTCTTTTGGTAGTCCATGGAATACTCAGTACTAATGGGGCAGGAATAACAGAAAAGGAAGGTGAAAATTATTACACCCCCTGAAGAATATAATCAATGTTAGTAAGTTGTACATATTTAAATTGTTGAATTGAAAGTATTTTTTAAGACAGTAATAAAGTAATTGTCGGGATAGTAACAAAAGTTTACATTTTTAACCAAAAATTAATAAAATCAAGCCTTATTTAATAATTAACTATCTTTTAATACTGTCTCACTAAGAATGAAATGTTAACTTTTTTCCAATTTATTGAATGGAATCCTAATTAATAAGTAAGTTGTAAAAACTTAGTTGATTTTTAAGAATTTGTACATCAGTCAAATCCTAGTTTTGAAATGTGAGGAAAACGTTTTATTAAACTGTTTTGTATTCTGATTTTCTGAACAGAAAGCCGAAAACAAAGAGGGCCAAGAGATTCCTTGAGAAGAGAGAACCAAAAGTCACCGAGAATAGTAAAAATGCCATGCTAATCAAAGGAGGAAATGCAAATGCAATGGTGACACAAGTACTTAGAGATATGGTACGTGTGTGTATATATATTTATTTTATACATTTATTTTTGAATGGTATTGGAATCCTCTTAGGAAGTTTTTACAGGATAACTTTGGGCTGTTAGAGAAGTACTTTTATAGATTGTATTTCTCCAAAAGCTACTAGTCATAGAAAAGTTCAAAACCCAAGAATCCATTTATACTGAGTTAATTCTGCTTCATAGTGACTCTGTATAGGAAGGTATAACTGCTTCGTAAGGTTTCCAAGAACTTTATGGACACATACTGCCATTTTTTTTCTTTCAAATTCAGTTTACATTTTAGAGACATACTTAATTTGTACAGTGAAGTAATTATACATTCCTGTATATTTAGTCATTCTGTTATTGCATATTTACTTACTCAGCCATCCTAGTTACAGTGCTCAGGGCTAGAGAAGAATAGATAAGACAGTTCTTCAATGAGCTATGGGAGACTGGCCTTGTGAATTAATGTACTAAAATCTCAAAGGAGTGTTAGGTGAGTTTCTCAGAGATGACATGTAACCTTTATTTTGAAAGTAGAGTTAAAAAAGAAGGGAAGAAGTGCAGGACTTCTAAGCCTGAGGGGAAAAAAATAGTTTGTGCACAGGAGAATATGAAGGAACTTTACATTTAGGGAATGTCAGATAATTGGGAATGACTAAAGGAGAGAGTAAGAGAGTATTGGAGGAATAGTCTGTATGTGTAGTATGTGTGCTACTAACCCAAAGGCGGCTCTTCTCTGATGGTTGGAATCTACCAGCTGGTCCTCAGGAGAAAAATTTTCATGTGTGGTTTATAGCCTCAGAAATCTGGAGCGTCAGCTGTTGTCTGAAGTAACTTGACAGTTGCCTTGAAGTAACATGGAGTTTGGACTTTATTCTGAAATCTCTATGGAACCATTTAAGGATTTGTTTAATTTTTGTACCTAGCTTGATCAGACAGGGATGAGACCAAATTTAGGGAACTACTGAAGCCATTGGTGCCAGATGCAGAGCCTCTGAAGACTGATGGTGCAATGAACAGGGGAGATGAAGAGAGAGAAGAAATGTTGGGAGTGAAAGATCTTCACATAAGTGAGAAGTCTGACTCTCCAGGTTTCTGACGAGAGTGCCTGCTGGGCAGGAATATCAGGTAGAGAGTGGAACAGGCATAGTATATGGAGACGAATAATAGGTGGTTGGATATTTAGACCTTGAGCTCACCAGATTCTTTGTGTTAAAATAAACTAAATAATTGAATAGATTTGACCAAACTTCTTAAATTTGTTACATGATATTCAATACAGATATTTAAACTTTGGAAAGAGTGGGAATCCCAGAACACTTGATTGTGCTCGTGCGAAACCTGTATTTGGACCAGGAAGCAGTCCTCAGGAAAGAGCAGGGAAACACTGCATGGTATAAAATCAGGAAAGGAATGTGTCTTGTTTCCATAACTTTTCAATTTCTATGTGGAAGAGATCATTCAGGAAGCTGGGCTTTATGAGGAAGATTGTGGAATGTGGCATCAGGATTAGAGGAAGACTCATCAACCTGTGTTATGCAGATGACACAATCTCACTCACTGACACTGAGGAGGACCTGAAGTGTTTGCTGCAGAAGGTCAAGGACTGTAATCTTCAATATGATTTGAAGCTCAGCATCAAGAAGATGAAGATTCTGAGGTTGTTAACAATTTCACTTTGCTCAGCTCCACAATCAACACTCTTGGCACCACAGTTAAGAAGTCAAAAGACAAATTGCACTGGGGAAATCTGCTGTCAGGGACCTCTCCAAAGTGCTAAAGAGTAACGATGTTAGTCTGGACTCAGGCCATGGTCTTAGCAATTACTTGCTTTGTCAACTAAGGATGACAGAAGAATTAATGCCTTTGAGTTGTGGTGCTGTAAAAAGTATTGAACATACTGTGTACTTCCAAGAGAACAAACAGGTTTGTTCTGGAGAGGGTGAAACTATGCTGCTTTTTGGAAGCAAGGATTTTGAAGCTCCGTCTGACATACTTTGGGTGTGTGGCCATGAGGGTTCAGTCCCTGGAGAAGGACATCATGCTTGGAAGTGTGGAGGACAGCTCAGGAGCAGAAGACCCCAGATGAGATGGATTGACACAGTTACTGGGATACTGGGGGTAGGTGTTTTGGAGACAGTGAGATTGGCTCAGGACAGAGCAGGGTTCAGAGCTATTGTGTTACTCAGTAACACAACAATAACAATATACATGTTTTCTTGATGTCAATGTGCTGACAGGATTTTGCCTATATGGTTTATATAATTAATATACATAGGCTTTTATATGAAATCCTGATGCCACATTTCTCCTCATAGACCTCAGCCTCCCAGATAATCTGTTCTTCATATATTTTGAAAAGGTTTGGGGATAGGACACATCCCTGGCATATATCCTTTACAATTTTGAACCATGCAGTGTTTCCTTGCTCTGTTCTGGCAACTTTTTCCTGGTCCAAGTATCAATTTTGCATAAGCACAATCAAGTGTTCTGGAATTCTCATTCTTCTTGGAGTCGGCTACAGTTTGTTGTGATCCACACAGTCAGATGCCAACAATCTGCATTATGTATGTAGATGACCCAATCCTGCTTGCTGAAACTGAGGAGGACCTGAAATGCTTGCTGTGGAAGGTCAAGGACCATTGCCTTCAACATGGATTGAAGCTCAACATCCAGAAAACAAAAGATTCTCACCACTGGGCCAATTGGCAGCATCATGATAGTTGGTGAAGAGATTGAGATTGTTAACAGCTTTAGTTTGCTTGGCTCCACAACCAGTACTCTTGGTACCAGCAGCCAGGAAATGAAAAGATGAATTGCATTGGGAAAGTCTGCTGTCAGAGACCTCTCCAAAGTACTGAAGAGCAACATTGTCAGTTTGGAAACTAAGATGCACCTGATCCAGGCTATAATCTTTTCAATTACTTGCTGTGCATCAGAGAGCTAGACAGTGACTAGGGATGATAGAAGGACAGTTGATGCCTTTGAGCGGTGGTGCTGGAGGAAGAGTATTGAATATATCATGGACTGCTAGGAGAACAAACAGATTGATCTTGAAGAGGGTGAAGCCAGGCTACTCCTTGGAGGCAAGGATTCTGAAGCTTCATCTGACATACTTTGGACATGTTGCAAGGTGGAATCAGTCCTTGGGAGAGGGACGTCATACTTGGGAGAATGGAGGGTACAGTACAAGCGAGAAAACCTCGATGAGTTGGATTGATTCAGTGAATGGGGTAGAATGTGTCAGAGACAATAAATTGGAAAACGATAGAGCATGATTTAGGACTATTGTACATAGGGTCTCTCTGAGTTGCAGGCAACTTAATGGCACATAAAAATATATATAAAATATGTAACAATATAATACAGATATATAGTATATGAAACTGTATAAGTATAAAAATAGATAATATATATTTCTTAGAGTGTTCTGGTGGCCTAATGGCAAGAAGTTGTGCTGCAGTCCCGAAGACATGCTATTTGAAGCCACCAGCTGCTCCACTGGAGACGGGCAATCTCCTCCAGTACAATTATTTGCCTCTGTAAACCTACTGAATTAAAGGGTCAGCTATGGGTTAGTTCTGACTCTGTAGTACACAACAACAATTATTTATTATAAATAGTAGAAATAGAAAATGTAGAAATAATATATCTATATGCCTATAGACAGATATACATTATTAAGTGTCAAAATAGATTAAAAATTGAGAGAGGGAAGATGCTGTTGTGGAGCTTGTGATTGGGGAAGATACCTTGAAATTAAAATTTATATTGGCTCTAGAAAGTAGGGGGAGTGAGTAAGTAGAACATTCTTTGGAAGCCATTGAAGGACCAAGGTTGTGAGTGTGGCTCATCATGTAAGACAGGCTGGTTCTGTGAACCCTCAAAAATTGGGTGAAAAATTTTTGCTTACTAGTATAGTTAAATAGAGACAATTTCAGGTTAAAGCTTTGAGTTCAGAAAACTAATTTAGAGGTGAACTTAAACGCCATGCAGATTATCAGGATCATAAGTTTCTATCATAGTATTACTTTGAGTCTGTGTTGACTAAGTATCACTTAACAGTAATTTAGAAGTAGAATCCAGAGTAGGTTGAAAGAAGGAGAGCAGTGATAGAAGATCAAGATAGTTGGGAATGATGACACTAAACATGGAAAGGAATACATTTCTTTAAGAGAGGTATACAAGAGTTCTTTAAAAGCACACAGCTCAGAGGCATCAATTCTCCTTCTATCCTCCTTGGTCATTGTCCAAGTCTCTGATGCATAACAAGTGATTGCGAAGACCATGGCCTGTATCAGATGCACCTTAGTCTCCAGAGAGACACCATTGCTCTTCAGTACTTTGGAGAGGTCCCTAACAGCAGACTTTCCCATGGCAATGCGCCTTTTAATTTCCTGGCTGCTGGTGCCAAGACTGTTGACTGTGGAGCCAAGCAAACTAAAGCTGTGAACAATCTCAATCTCTTCACCATCCATCCTGATGCTGCCAATTGGTCCAGTGATGAGAATCTTTGTCTTCTTCACATTGAGCCTCAGTCCATATTGGAGGCTGCAGTCCTTGACCCTCTGCATCAGGTGCTTCAGGTCCTCTTCAGTTTCAGCAAGCAGGGTTGTGTCATCTGGATAATGCAGATTGTTGATAGATCGTCCACCAATCTTGACCCCACATTTCTCCTCATAGAGCCCAACCCAATCTATTCTGCATACAGGTTGAAAAGGTATGGAGATAGGATGCATCCCTGGCATACACCCTTCCCAAAGGGAACCATGCAGTGTTCTCTTGCTCTGTTCTGATGACTGCTTCCTGGTCCAAGTATAGGTTTCGCATTAGCACGATCAAGTGTTCTGGGATTCCCATTCTTCTCAGAGTCAGCCACAGTTTGTTATGATCCACACAATCAAATGCCTTTGCATAGTCAATGAAACACAGATAGACATTCCTCTGGTATTCTCTGCTTTCAGCTAAGATCCATCTAACATCAGCTACAATATCCCCAGTAC